TTTATTATTTTATACTTTATTGGTTTCTTTACCAATATTAGTTGGTATTTTTTATTTCTATAATAATTTAATAACATTGAATTTTTATCTTTTAAATAATTTTATATTTAATTATGATTTATTATATTTATCTTTAATTTTAGCATTTTTAGTTAAGATACCAATATTTTTAGTTCATTCATGATTACCTAAAGCTCATGTTGAAGCTCCAGTTTAAGGTTCTATAATTTTAGCAGGTATTATATTAAAGTTGGGGGGGTTATGGTTTATTGCGAGTATTATCTTTTTTACAATTGAGTGGTGTTAAATATAATTACNAAAATTGGGGGGTTATGGTTTATTACGGGTGTTATGTTTTTTACAATTAAGAAATGTAAAATATAATTATATTTGAATTAGAATTAGTTTAATTGGTGGGGTATTAATTAGTTTAGTTTGTTTACGACAAACTGATTTAAAGGCTTTAATTGCATATTCTTCTGTAGCTCATATAGGAATTGTTTTAGGGGGACTTATAACTTTAACTTATTGAGGTATACTTTGATAATTTCTCATGGATTATGTTCATCAGGGTTATTTTGTTTAGCTAATATAACTCATGAACGATTAGGAAGTCGAAGTTTATTAATTAATAAGGGATTATTANGGACTTATAACTTTAAGTTATTGAGGTTTATGTGGGTCTTATACTTTGATAATTTCTCATGGGTTATGTTCATCGGGGTTATTTTGTTTAGCTAATATAACTTATGAACGATTAGGAAGTCGAAGTTTATTAATTAATAAGGGATTATTAAATTGTATACCTTCAATAACTTTATGATGATTTTTATTGAGTTCTTGTAATATAGCTGCACCTCCTTCATTAAATCTATTAGGCGAACTTTCTTTATTAAATAGAATCGTTAGTTGATCATGATTAACTATAATTTCTTTATCTTTATTAGCTTTTTTTAGAGATGCGTATTCTTTATATTTATATGCATATAGACAACATGGTAAGGGATTTTCTGGGATTTTTTCATTTAGTGGGGGTAAAATTCGTGAATATTTTATTTTAATACTTCATTGATTTCCTTTAAATTTATTAATTTTAAAAAGTGAAATTTGTATAATTTGGCTTTAAAATTTAAATCGTTTATTTAAAATATTGATTTATGGTGTCAATGATATGATTTATGTCATTTTAAATTGTGAAAAAATATTTATCAATTTGTAGAATTAGATTTTTAATTTTATTTAGAATTATAATTAATTTATTTATTTTTAGTTTGAAATTTTTATTAAGAGATTATTGTATTTTTTTGGAATGAGAAGTTATTTCATTAAATTCTTCTAGAATTGTAATAACTATTTTATTTGATTGAATAAGTTTATTATTTATGTCTTTTGTTTTATTAATTGCTTCTTTGGTAATTTATTATAGAAAAGAATATATAAGTGGTGATGTTAATGTTAATCTGNTTAGTCCAAATATAATTAGAATTTTATTAGGTTGAGATGGATTAGGATTAATTTCTTATTGTTTCGTTATANATATTAGTTTTTATATTTGTATTATCTATAATGTTATTAATTATTAGACCAAATATAATTAGAATTTTATTAGGTTGAGATGGGTTAGGATTAATTTCTTATTGTTTAGTTATTTATTTTCAAAATGTTAAATCTTATAATGCTGGGATATTAACTGCTTTATCTAATCGTATTGGTGATGTTGCTTTTTTACTTGCAATTGCTTGAATATTAAATTATGGAAGTTGAAATTTTTTTATTTAGAATCAATGAAAAATAGAATTGAAATATAAGTGATTGGAGGATTAATAATATTAACTGCTATAACAAAAAGAGCTCAAATTCCTTTTTCTTCTTGATTACCTGCTGCTATGGCTGCTCCAACTCCTGTTTCTGCTTTAGTTCATTCTTCAACTCTTGTAACTGCTGGTGTTTATTTATTAATTCGTTTTAATATTTTATTGCATAATTATTTTTTAGGTCAATTATTATTATTATTATCTGGAATATAGTTAATATTTATAGCTGGATTAGGAGCTAATTTTGAATTTGACTTAAAAAAATTATTGCTCTTTCTACATTAAGTCAGTTAGGATTATTAATGAGAATTTTATCAATAGGATTTTATAAATTAGCTTTTTTTCATCTTTTAACTCATGCATTATTTAAGGCATTATTATTTATATGTGCAGCAGCTATTATTCATAATATGCAAAATTCCCAAGATATTCGTTTAATAGGAGGATTGGGAATTTATATACCTTTACATACTTCTTGTTTTAATGTTGCTAATTTAGCTTTATGTGGAATGCCTCTTTTAGCTGGATTTTATTCTAAGGATATAATTTTAGAAATTGTTTCATTAAGTTATATTAATTTTTTTTCTTTCTTTTTATATATTTTTTCTACTGGATTAACAGTTTGTTATTCTTTTCGATTAATTTATTATTCAATAACAGGAGAATTAAATTGTGGTTCTTTGAATATATTAAGATATGAGGGTTGAGNTTTCTACTGGATTAACAGTTTGTTATTCTTTTCGATTGATTTATTATTCAATAACGGGAGAATTAAACTGTGGTTCTTTGAATATATTAAGAGATGAGGGTTGAATTATACTTCGTGGAATAAGAGGCTTATTAATTATAAGAATTATTGGGGGGAGAATTCTTAGATGGTTAATTTTTCCTACTCCTTATATAATTTGTTTACCTGTATATATAAAATTATTAACTTTATTTGTTTGTGTTATGGGAGGATTTATAGGTTATTTGATTTCTCATGTTTCTTTATTTCATTTAAATAAACCATTCAATAATTATTTAGTTAGTTATTTTTTTGGTTCTATATGATTTATACCTTATATTTCTACTTATGGAATTATTAATTTTCCATTAAATTTAGGAAGACTAGTTTATAAATCATTTGATCAAGGTTGATCAGGATTTTTAGGTGGCCAAAAGTTATATAGTAGATTATATGAATTTTCTAATAGATTTTTTTTTCATAATAATAATTTAAAAAAGTATCTTTTATTACTTGTTTTATGAATTACTTTTTATTTAGATTTTTTTATTATTTTATTCAAGTAGCTTATATTTAGAGCATAACATTGAAGATGTTAGGGTAATTAGATAATTCTTGAATGTAGTGAATTAATTTTTGTAATTTATAAAAAAAAAATATTTTAATTTTTCAATGAAAATGTAATGTTTTTATTAAACTATATAAATAGAAGTATAAATGGAATTTAACCATTAAAAGATAAAAGTTAGCAGCTTTTTCTTGAACATCATACTTCCTTAATTGGAGTATAAATCTCAATTCTATCATTAACAGTGATAAGCCTCTTTTTGGCTTCAATTAATAGATAGATATTAATTGAAAATAAGGGTATTTAAATTACCTAAAATTAGGTCGAAACTAATTGCAATAAATCGCTTCATATTCAATTAATTAAGGTAGATTGAAATTTCAATACTTTTTGAATGCAAATCAAATGTTATAATAAACTACAGCCCTAATTTGATCAATTTAATATTCCTTGATTTCATTCATGATATAATATAATAATTAAAATAATAATAAAAATAATTGAAGTAATTGTTCATATAAAGATATTTGAAATTTTGATAATTAAAATTATTGGTAAAATTGCATCAAAAATTAAAAAAATTATTGTAATTAAAAAAAATCCTAAAGAAAAAGGAAGACGTGATGAAGACTTTGGATCAAATCCACATTCAAAAGGTGAGCATTTTTCTCGATCTGTTAATGTTTTTTTTTGATAGAATTGATCCTAATATTATTACTACTCTAGAAATAATAATTAAAATTGAAGCTATAATAGCAATTGAAAAAATTATTTATACTACTAGATTAGTAGACCTTATGATTGGAAGTCAAATATACTTGTATACTATATAAATAATTAATTAGTTAACCTCCTCATCAATAAATTGAAATATAAAGGAATAATCAAACAATATCAACAAAATGTCAATATCATGCAGCAGCTTCAAATCCAAAATGATGAATTTTTGAAAAGTGATTATTTAAATGTCGAATTAAACATACTAATAAAAAGGTAGTTCCAATTAATACATGAATTCCATGAAAGCCTGTTGCTATAAAAAAAGTAGATCCATAAACTGAATCTGCAATTGTAAAAGGGGCTTCCATATATTCATATGCTTGTAAAATAGTAAAGTATATACCTGTACTGTAAAAAATAATCCTTGTGTAGCTTGTGAATGATTTCCTTGTAATAAACTATGATGTGCTCATGTAACAGTTACTCCTGAAGCTAAAAGAATTGCTGTTTTAGTAAAGGAATTTGAAATAGATTAAATGGTTTAATTCCTATAGGTGGTCACGATGCTCCTAGTTCAATAGCAGGTGATAATCTTCTATGAAAATAAGTTAAAAAAAAAACATACAAAAAACAATACTTCAGATAAAATAAATAAAATTATTCCTCATCGAAGGCCTAAAGTAACAGAGATAGTGTGTAATCCTTGAAATATACTNATCCTTGAAATGTACCTTCACGTGATACATCTCGTCATCATTGATAAACAGTTAAGATAGTAATAATATTTCCTAATACAAATAATGAAATATCATATTGATGAAATCATTTTACTAAACCTGAAACTGAAGTTATAGCACCAATAGCTCCTGTTAAAGGTCATGGACTATAATCTACTAAGTGAAAGGGGTGATTAGCGTGTGTTGACATTAACTAACTTCTCTAGAGTATAATGTTCCTAATACAGCAAATACATTAGATTGGATAATTGCTACTGCTGATTCAAGGATTAATAAAGCAATTTGACCAATTAAAAGTAAGATACAATTATATATGAAAGTGAAGGACCTGTATTTCCTAATAATGTTAGTAATAAATGACCTGCAATTATATTAGCTGCTAATCGAACTGCTAAAGTTCCTGGGC